TTTGTTACAAAGATCAAATCTTGCAAGAATTGAACTCCAGGCAAGCATTAAACTAGTCCAGGAAGTGGGAGCATATGGCCTCCCTGAAGGGTGTAATAAGGCACTTCAGGAAACTCAGAGGTGTTCATTCTATATATTTTTTCCTTGGGAGCAGCTGGGGGTGGAGGTGGGAGGTAGGTTGAAGGAAGAAACGAAGATTCACTTTTATCCTGTTTTCTCTGGTTAGATGCTCATAGCAACCTAAGTACAACAGGATGAATGCAGCCACTTTGTCAATCCAGCTCCCTGAGGATCTTCCTCTTTTTTGCTGACCTCAACTTTTCTAAGGATTTGTCCCTTCTGATTACATAGTTGTTATGAGTTGGGCTCCTAACCTCAAGGTCAGCAATTTGAAACTACCAGCTGGAGTAAGATGAGGCTTTCTGCTCCCATAAAGATTCGCAGCCTTAGAAATCCTATGCAGGGTCGCTCTGAGTCGAAACCAACTCCACAGCACATAACCAACCAACCAATGGCCTTCTATGCATGGCAAAGACAAGTAGAAAGGGCTTATAACTCATGAAAAAACCAAAAATCCATTTTAAATAGATATATGAGGGATTCAAAAAGTTTGTGGAAAAATGGAATGAAAAGTTGATGGAGTATTTCCAGGTACTTTCAGAAGCCCTTCTTGTATATTTTACTGGTTAGGAATAAGATGAAGAATATGTTTATGAAATAGTCTTTCACGAGAAGCTTGAGTCAAAGGCATTCTCAAGGCCAGACTCTCACTGGAACCCACTTGTCCCCATCTCTCTGCTCCTGCCCCAGGGTGGGGTCTCCTTGTCTCTAACTTGGACCGTTTTCATGGCCTTCTTTGTTTCTGGATTTCTGTATTTTCACTATGATTTGTCTAGAAAAGGATTTCTTTTTATTTATCCTGCTTGGGAGTCCCTGTGTGGCACTGTAGGATAATGCACTGGACCGCAAAGTCGCTTTGAACCCCAACGTCAGCCGGTCAAACCCTATATAGGGACGCTATGGGCCAGAACCAACTCGATGGCACTTTAACAACAACAACAATCTTCAAATTCAATCATTCTCTCTTCACTTGAGTTTAGCTTTCTGTTAAAGCCATCCACTACATTCTCAACTTCCATTGTTTTATATTTTAGTTCTATCTGGATTTGTAACAAACTGACTCTCACTTCTTAGTTTTCTGTTTCCAGCAGATATTTTCAGGCTTATTTATCTTTTTATTTTTTTGAGATACAGCATACTAAAGTCATTATGTTGTAGTTGTGTTGCCATTGAGTTGGTTCTGACTCATAGCGATTCTGTATAGGATTTCCAAGGAACAGCTGGGGAGTTTGAGCCGATGACTTTTCAGTTCAAACTGACCTTATGGTCGAGTGCTTATTCTGCAGTATCACACCAAATGCCATCAAGTCGGTTGCAGCTCAGAGCGATGCTGTATAGGGTTTCTGAGGAGCAGTTGGTGGGTTTGAGCCACTGACCTTGCATTTAGCAGTACACTGCTTAGCCTACACCACCACACTAGGACAGTCTCTTATACCTCGGACATCTGAAGCCTTTGCAAGTTTCTGTTGTCTGATTTTTTTTTTTATTGTTCGCTATCACTCACAACTTTGTCCTTCTAATTACCTTGGACTGTGTGCTGATATGTTATTTTAAAATCATTTGTGAAAATGGATGCAGGCCTAGTAGTACAGTACCTTCCGCAGTATTTTCATTTATTTCTCACACATGCCTGGGGACTCTGCCTATCCCAAACTGCTTTAATTTCAAGCACAGAGGTTGAATTCCCTTGGTTGACTATCCAGGTGATAAATATCTAGGCTAGAGCAGGTTACTTCTGGTTAACCAATGCCCTGAAAGGACAGTCATGCAGGCTCTCACATTAAGGTGGGCAAACGGGTAACTCTTTCTTCCAAGTTCAGCATATGCCCTCAGAAGTGGGTTTCCCTTTCGAGCTCATAGCCACTCTGTATTAGGGTTTCCAAGGAGCAGCTGGTGGGGTTGAACTGCCGACCTTGTGATTCACAGTCCAGTGCTGACCCTACAGTACCACACACCTCATTATTTCTTAGCTTTGTATAAAGATGACTTCTCTTTATAGTTCAACATGTGTACTTAGCGCTCCTCGTTGGGACAATTAGTCCAAACTACCCAACCTGCCATCTGCACAAGCAGGGGTGTCAATCTCCTCCTCATTGCTCTCCTGGTTCCCAGTCTTCCTTCCTGTGTCTCCTTCATGACATAACCAAGAGTCTCTCCTCCAAAGGTACAACTATGATTATGTTATCCCCTTGAACAAATCCTTCAAAAGCTTACTGTGGATTCTTAAAAATTAAGTCTACAGCTTGGAAAACTAGGGCTGAAACTCTTTCTTGCCTCACTTATTCATCCGACAAGTATGCATCCTGTACCGTTGTATGTGATGTTTACTAGGCCAGGTGCTGCCTAATCTTTTGCGTCTTATCTGTCTTCCTGTCTCCCAAGTCACTGTGTATACTCCACCAAAGTAGGATACTCACTCTTGTGTGGCAGAGCTGGGTCCAGAGTACAGGTTAGCTGGGTCCAGAGCACAGGTTCACTGCTCTTTCTCCTACACCCTGATCCCATATCTGGGTTCAAATCCATTCAATCTGGCTATTTATGGATATTCCAGAAAATTAACTAGGCAAATTAGCTCAACAAGTACAAATGATAGTGGCATTTTCATATGTCTTGTTGCCTTGGGGGACCATTTGTCATGTGAGTCAGAAATTTCAAACAAGCATTACCTCTGGCGAAAGCAGAAGTCAGGGAGAGTCCTCTGAGCTGTAAGGTTTGGATATGAATTCATCATTGCCATCAACTGTTTGACAATCTCCACAGTCACAAGGGCACCTAGGAAGAAAACTTCGGCTTCAGGCCTGATGTCTGTAGACTCTGAGTTCACAGAGCAGAGACAAACCCACATCCAAACAAATCTACCGCCACCTGCTGGCAATTGTCTGGAATTCCAGTCAACATCGCCTCTCACTGAAACGCTCTGCTGAAAGTAGGAAACGTGGAAAAAAGTTCTAATCTTGGCCTTTACCACCATGTGATCTTTGCCTTTCCAGGCCTCAGTTTCTCCCGCTGACAAAATGATCTGGGATGCCTAGGTGACCAAGGACAATGGGACAGCACTAATATCAATAGGAGTGGCTTCCAGTGACCCATTTGTTTTTATGTGTGCCCCAAGTGGAAACGAGAGCGTTGGCTGCAATGGAAGGAAAAGGGGGAAATGATGAGGTGAGGGTGCTCTGTTTGCTGAAAGAAAGCAGAGTACTAACTATGAGACATATTTTAAAGTTTATAAAGGTGGGGGTAAAAAGTTAGGCCCTTTGCTTTGCAGAACACCCACTGACTCCAGGAGTGCCAGGCAAGGGAAACTCTGTACTAAGCTGTGTACACGCAGCCCCAACTTGAGTCACTAGATAGTGAGGGAAAGAGAAAGGGGTGTATTTCTGCTTGAATGTTCTAGTTAACCTTGTTGTTGTTATTGTTAAGTGCCGTCGAGTTGATTCCGACCCATAGCCACCCTGTATAGGGTTTCCAAGGAGCAGCTGGTGAGCTTGAACCACCGACCTTGCCATTCAAACGACTTTGCAGTCTGACGCATTAGAGAACCTGAAATCCACTTCTAAGCCCTTCTAAGTGTCCTGGTGTGGCACTGTGGGTTAGTGCGCCAGACAGCAAAGCCGTTTGTACTGCAAGGTCAGCGGTTCAAGCTCACCAGCTGCTCCCTATATACAGGGTTGGAAACAACTCGATGGCACTTCACAACAACAAAAATTGTTCTGATGTGGCGCTGCAGGATAATGCACTGAACCCGCAGGGTCGATTTGAACCACAAGGTCGGCGGTTCAGATTCACCAGTCACTCCTCAGAAACCCCATAAAGGGTTGTTATGAGTCAACCCGACTGGAAGGCACTTAACAAGTCTTAAGAGTCCTGTTGTAGCACTATAATATAAGCACTGAACTATTAAGCGCAAGGTAGGTGGTTCAAACCCACCAGCCTCTCCTCGGAAACCCTATACAGGGTCACTTTGAGCCAGCAGTTAACAAGTGGAGCATTTTGGCAGTTCCAGCACTGGTGAATAGGACTGAGCTGCTTTGTTGGCTGACCAACGGTCCTCTTAGTCAGGATCTGGGATCGGAAGGATTTCATCATCATCTGAAAGCCTTCTGTCCCACGGGGCAGTGTGCAGAGTGGAAAGAATCGGAGCTCTCTGGTTCCACGCTGGGGCCAGAAGGCTGGAGCATTGGAGTGGCCTGGTCTCTAGGGGCTAAGACACTGAATGCTCGGAATCACTGCCCTTTGCCTTCATTTCCCATTCCATCCTGTCAGCCCTGGACCCTTGGTTAAGTCTGCCTCCCCCTTGGCTATGAACTATCTTGGCTATCTCAGAGTGACCCCTTTAGGCGACCCTTCCAGTTTCCTGGGGTGGCACTTGGGACCCAAACTGTGAGTTTCCCTGGAAACTTATGTGCTCCTGAAAGAGGGGATGTCTGCTGTGGCCTGAGTCTGTCATAAAACCTTTGTGGCTCTCTGGCCCCCATACCCTAAGTGAGGGACTTATTGGAGGTTCCACGGTACCTCCTGATCCCCAAAGGCTTCCAAGTCTTTCAGAATGCAGAGTCCCTTCATCACAAAAATCAAACAAACCCACTCTGGGTCAGGAGAAAAGCCCATTTGTCCTGGACAGGGGAGGCCCAGCAGCTCTAAGGTCTGGAGGCCGCCCGCGCGCTGGTTGGTGCGCTCCGGGCCCGCTATTGGCGCGGCCGTCGGGGTGGGCGGGGTCGCGGGGTGGGCGGAGCTGTCGCCAGCCCACTTGTGCCCAGTCGCAGCCCAGAGCGGCCGCAGACGGAGCGCACCTTGCTGCAGCAGGCGCCGCTCTGCCGGGGTCAGCAACCCCGCCGGACTCCTGGTCGCGTCCCTCCGGCCGTGCCCCAGAGAGCGCGGCCATGGGCATCCGCGGCGTGCTGCGGGCCGCTGTGCTGTTGCTGCTCATCCGGACCTGGCTCGCGGAGGGCAGCACCCCCAACCCCACCACCAGGTTCCACTTTGGCCGCTCCAACGCTCCCGAAGTCGTCCAGGACCTCTTCAGCTGGTGAGCGACGGGCCAGTTGACAGAGCAGGCGAGGGTCTCTACCAGGTCCACCTGCTGGCCCAGGAGGGAGACAAAGACAGTGGAGGCAACCCTGGAGGGCAGGGGGAAGGGGGATAATGGGGGCGACCCTGGGCTCCACCATCTGCCCCTGTGGCAACCCTTCCCCAACCCCCCCCCCACCCCCGAGACCACAGCCCTGGAAAGAGGCACTCCCTCTGGGGCTGTCACCCCTCCCCAAAAACTAAGGTCCCCGGCAGCCCTTCCCAGCCTTGGCCCTTGGCCCCTATGTATATAGAAGGTTGAAGGAATTGGGAGTAACAGGGAATTGGGCCAGACACAAAACAGACGCTTGAGACACCTGTTGGAGTGCGGAATTCAGCTCATATTCCAGGGCGCGCGCGGGAGTGTGTATGTTTGTGTGTGTGTGTGTGCGCGCGCGTGCGTGCGCGCGTGCGCGTGTGTTTGTTTGTGTGTTTGTTTTGAGGGGTTTGGGGACCCTTCCCATGGGCTCAGGATCCCAGACACCGCTCTCTGGGGCTGCGTGATCCTGGGACGTGCCCTGAGTGTGCTTTTGTACTTAACTCCTTTGAAAAGATGTGAAGATCTAGGTTTTTTTCTGTTTCATTTCAAGTTTGTGTGAGTCTGCGAATATCTGAAGCAATGTTAAAACAGTCAGCTATCAACATGTAGATTACACAGAAATGGGTATTTAGGATGGCTTTCGACCCTGACCCTGAGCCTGGCACATGGGTAATGTGTGGTTGGAAACAGGCGGGAATGCATTGCTTTAATTCAGGAATAATTCATGCTCACACTCTGGAATGAGGCAAAATGAAATTTTGTGATTAAGGATGATTGGGAATAATTTTTTAGATGGCAAACCAGAAATGAACATGTTTCGGGGGGGGGGGGGGAATGAAGGTATTCCGGCAGACAGCCCTGCAGTGACCTCAAACCATCATGCCTGACTGTGCTAGGGAACACACACACAGGAACGCCCACACACAAAAACACAAACACACACATGCTAAGGTTTGCGGGGGACTAACATGGAAGACCCTGAAGCATCAGTGATGTCCATGGTCTGTTGACAGTCCCCTTTTGAGTGGAAAGCGCCACTGAAGGGCTCAAGTGTCTTGGATGAGCATATCAGAGACTTCTAGAAAGGCTGGTTTTGCAGGGCTGAGCTGAGCCTTCCTCTTTGTGCTCGCCCAAGACACCTCTTGTCTGGAAGAGCACATGCTCGGCAAGAGAGACGACTACTCCAAGAATGGGTGTCTTTTTGAGAACAGCCCTGAGCCCCACAAATCATAACTGGCATGGTGGGATATGGAACACAATCTCTTGCCACTTGAGCAAGGCTCCCTCTGCATCTGCCCAGTCCTAAGAGCAGAGGTGTACTAAAGCAAGACTGATGTGGAGGGGACAACAAAATGACCAGCCTGTGCCCAGGGCACTAAGAGTGGAAGATTCCTTTCCAGGGGCAATCTGGTGCTCCTCAGAGGAAGGCCCCCACCAACCTGGCTAGCTATGTCTGTGCTAGCTCCAAGGTAGGGCCCCTCAGGGGGTTAAAAGTGGTAAATTTTCCCCAGGGCTCTATTTGCTCCCACCCCTCCTCCCCCAAGCCTGCCTGGCAACAGCCTTCTGCCCCACCCTCTGGACAGAGGACAGATGAGGAGGGGGAGCAGGGGAAAGGGAGGGGGAGTTTGCGTCACACTGGGCTGACTCACAGTGGGGAGGAAAAGGAGGGGGAGAGTGAACACATATGACAGTCCATGGCTATGTGTGCGCAGCGGGACGGAAGGGTCTGAGGAACATCATGACATTTACCAATAACCAGTGACTTCTCTGTTTCAGCAAAAATTGTGCCAGTGAAGCTGTGGTTCACAAGGTTTTGGACAGGGTGTTGAAGGGGTACGATGTCCGTTTGCGGCCAAATTTTGGAGGTAAGCTGCCTCCAGACACTTGAGGCATTTCTGTTAGGTGACTAGATCTGAGACAAGTTGGCCCCTCCCAGTATGTTGACCAGTGGGCCGCCCTGGCTCACCTGGCCTCTCCAGATTTCTCCTATTCACCCTGTGAAGACCCAGATCCTGGCTGGGTCCTTCAGCGCTACCTCTGAAATTTCTCCACTTCTCTGCTTTCATTTGCCAGACACCTCCTGCACCCTCCCCACTCCTCTGAAGCTGGGGAATGAGTATGCCAAACACAGGAGCTGGGCAGCTCAGGGTCCTGTCATCAACTCCTCCCATCATGCTTACAGTGAGGGCATGTTGTCTTCTTGAACACGCATTCTGTGTAGCCTTCCACTCACCCCAGCTAGTTCAAAACTGCACACACACACACCCCACAGTCTTCAGGCCCCACATTCTGTAAATATCCCAAGTCAGTTTTCAAAGCCCCTTTGCTCACCAGCTCCTCTAGGAAGAGGAGCCCAGAAAACAGGAGAGGAGCAGCTCAGGCCCAGGGGTCATCCAGGCATGCTAGATCAAAGAAAGGGAACACTGAATAGAGATTTGTCACATGCTAGCTAGATGGAAGCAGGGAAGAGCTAAAGAAGGTCCCAGACTTCAGCCCACGGTGAACTGGATGTCCACTTGGGAGGGTTAATGGTGCTAATGGACACCCTACCTTGAAGATTGGGCCCTCAGGTTAGACCAGTGGGGGTGCCCCCTGAAACCAAGGACACCACCGAGGATAGGAGTGGACTGGCACCTCTCCTTTACTCTTGCTTCTTCCTGAATGTGAGGGCAGAAGACACTGTACCAGGTACCCAGGTAAACCAGCACCTGGGCTGGGAATCTGGGGGTGGCAGAAAGGGCAGAAGGCTCTTTCAATAACCTTCCACCACAAGGAAGCAGAACCTCTTCTGGGCTTTTGGAGCCCTTGCACCAAGCACAGGTAGGCGTCAAAGGAGTTGCTTCATTTCCACCCCCTTCACCTCCCTCCTCCTCCTCATGCCATAGGCTTCTCACCACTACCTTGCAAGGAAACTGGTTTGTGTGTCGACCTAATGCCTAAGGCACCCTGGTAGCGCAGTGGTTTAGCACTCAGCTACTCACCCAAAGGTCATTGGTTGGAACCCACCAGCCAACACAGAACAAAGATGTGATTCTCTGTTTTCAGAAAGATTGACAGCCTTGGAAACTCTTGAGAGAGTTCTGCACTTTCCCTATGAGTTTGGTTCTATTCTACAGCCATGGGTTTGCTTTGGTTTGGGGGTATGAATAGGAAGGAGGGCAAAGTTTCTTGCCAGACCTGGGGTACCAGGGCAAGAGGCTGGGAGTATTGCTGCTTCTGCTGAGATGGGGGTCTTTGCCCCATCAGCCTGTGAGAAAAGATGGGTCCCTGGATTGATGTGGCCAAACAGCAGAGGAATCAGTACTGTCTAGCATTTCCGACAGTCCCAGGCTGCCAAGCAAGTGATTAATGGGGGTCATGGGGGTGGAGACAGTGAATGGTGGTTTCCCGGTCCTTAGAGGTTGTGCTCCCACCTGGTCAGCCACTGCAGCTGACGCTAGACAGAAAGCCCAGCCCAGCCCAGCCCAGCCCAAACCAGAACTAGAGAAGGAATGAGGGCATGGGTTGTTGTTGTTGTTGTTGTTAAGTGCCGTCGAGTCGGTTCTGACCCATAGCGACCTTGTACAGGGTTTCCGAGGGTGTAAATCCTTACGGGAGTAGAAAGCCTCATCTTTCTCCCGCGGAGTGGCTGGTAGTTTCGAACCGCTGACCTTAAGGTTCGCAGCCCGATTCGTAACCACTACGCTACCAGAGCTCCATGGGTAGGGATTTAAAACTAGATTTTGGAAGTAAGTGAGACTAGAGATGAAGACACCTGTATGCAGAGTTCACCTGTTGATTCCTTGTTGAATCTCTGGATTCCCCAGGAACGATTGAGTTGCCTGAGGAATGCTGAATGGGCTGGAGTGAGGAGTGTAGGTCAGGAGGGGGCCCCTGGCTGCCTGGACCCTGTTGGGGCTGCTGTCTGCCTGGCACAGCTGCAGTCCTTTAAAGGCATGTGCCGCCCCCCTGTGTTTCTAGAAAGCATTCCGCTGGGGAAAGCTCACAATAGCCTGGATGCTGGAGTCTGGGCTGTGCTCCCTCCCAGCTGTCATTCAGATGCTCAGTCCCAGGAGCCTGGAACCCTGTACTTCCCTGTTTGCAGGAGACAGCTTCTGGGTAATCAGACTGAATTTTGCAGTGCCTGGCTGCTGCTTCCCAAGCAATGCTGTGATGGAATCAATGGGCCCCATGGAGGCGGCTTTGAGACCCTGGGGAATGATGACATTGTATTTGTCCACAACACCTTACAGTTTATGAAATACTATTACCAACCATGATCACATTTTAGTCCTGCCAGTTGGCAGTGCTGCCACTTAAGCCTGAGGGAAGTCCCCCCACACTCACAATCACAGTCACACACACACACATTCACATGCTCACACACAAACCTGCTCCCACATTCACATCTGCACATGCTCACACATAAGTGAAATTTGTGGGTAAGCTGGGACAGGTACATATGGTTCTCATTCAGCCTTACCTTATACAAGAGAATGCTCGGATCCTTGTCAGTGATTTAAAAGCTGCACATGCAGAAAGTGAAGGTGATTATGATGAAGAATTTATTACAAGTAGGGGTTGGTTCAGTCCTTTGAAAGTGGGGGCAAATTTAGGGCAAGTAGGATGGAGTCCTGGTGTGGCACTGTGAGTAATACGCTGAACTGCAAGGTCAGCTTGAACCACAAGGTTGGTGGTTCAAGCTCACCAGCAGCTCCTTGGAAACCCTACACAGAATGGCTATGAGTCAGAATCGCTCCACAGCACTTAACAACAACAAGGGGAGTTGCCCATGAGTCAGACATTTGAAACCTGAGGACTGCCTATTATCACACATTAACACATGAATACACATGCCCACACATTCCCTCACAGCTAGTTACATACTCACATTGACTTAGACACAGGCACATACTAATACTTATCGCATTAATATACTCACCAATACATATACATAGACACGTTCACTCACACATGAGTGCATACATAAACGTGCTCACTCATGAACACTCACACATCCACTCACTCATACAGATAAACACACTCAGAAATGCTCACACATTGACATGCTTACATTCAATCAAGCATGTTCAGTCACACATGCATATGCTCACAGTTGCATGCATGAATAGACTCATTGGCATGCTCACACAAAGTCACGCAATCACTGACACCTTCACTCACAATGTGTTCAAATATGCATGTGTGCTCAAAGTCACACACAAACACACTTGATTATACACACATTCGTATGCTTACACATTTATTCGCGCACAAACGTATACACTCAGAGATTCGCTGACCTTCAGAAAGTGTCTGGAAAAAATTCCAGGTTTTCTAAGCTTTGAAACCCCTTCGTACACTCAAATGCACACATGCCCATTCGCTCACAGCCATGTCAGCACACTCACACATGAACAGCTGTATTTATGCACATATACATGACCATGCTCACATAGTCACATGCTCTCACATTTGCATGCCAACATGCATCAGCTTTCTCACAAACACAGATTCCCTCACACACGCACACACATTCATTCAGTCACACATGAATGCACACACATGAGGATGGTCATACACTGCTATATTCAGACTCACACATGTACTCACAGATGAATGCACTCACGTTTCTTCATATGCACACTCATGCTCCTTCACAGTCACACATCCACATACTCACATGGATATGCTCAGAGTCATTCAAACATACAAATGTGCTCACACAAGTACATGCTTATATGTTAGCATATTCCCACACTCACACAAACACCTCCACAAATCCACTCGCATACATAGGCACACTCACAATTAACACACACACAGAGACGTGCTCACACACTCAGTCACATGAACATGCCCACGTCCACTCAAACCTCTCCACAGGGCCATATATAAACATGCCCCCAGGAGCATTCACATGTGACCATACTCCTACACATGAACACATTGCCTGACACAGATACACTTGCTTTGCATACATTCTCACATAAGGACTCATGCGAAGTCACTTGGTCACATCTTTACTCATACGCAGAGTCACTCAGAAATCTACTCCCACCCATCCAGAAGTGCACACACATTCACTGTCTCTCACACACACATGTTCAATCCACTCACATAATAGCCACAGGAAGCTTACATGAACAAATTCACATGCACATGCTGACGTAGTCACTCAAATACACATGTGCTTCTATGTACACATTCACTCATGCCCCACAAATCTTGGCTCTAGCTTCTGGTCTTATTGCTCTTCTACTGATCAGGAGAACATTTAGAAAAGAGTGCCTCATCACCTGTATTTTCTTGTAATCTTGCCCGGCCCCTTCCTTTTAGCCAAACACTTTGAATCCCCCTCCCACATGTTCTGTCCTAGCAGCAGCCCTGCCCTGAAGTGTGGAAGTGGGTTTTGGACACCTATTGTTGTTATAAAGGAGCTCTGGTAGCGTAGTGGTTACGAATTGGGCTGTGAACCTTAAGGTCAGCGGTTCGAAACTACCAGCCGCTCCGCGGGAGAAAGATGAGGCTTTCTACTCCCGTAAAGATTTACACCCTCGGAAACCCTGTACAGGGTCGCTATGGGTCGGAACCGACTCAATGGCACTTAACAACAACAACAACAACATTGTTGTTATATTGGACACCTATAGCTAGCACTAAGTAACTTGAATGACTCAATTCTCATCACTGGGCTCCCATTGCCAAATCTAAGGCTACGTCAGGACAGTGTCTTTTCTGCGGACTCCCTGTGGTTGGGTCACATGTGTGGATATGCCACTGCAGGCAGAGCTGGGTCATGGGATGGAGCCTGGTGTGATTCCACCCCCCACCCCCCCAGCCCCGCATCGTGTGAAAGAGGAAAGTGAGGGATAAGGGCACATGGAACAATGCCCTCCTTTTTTTAGGTGCCCCTGTGCCTGTGGGTATCTCCATCTACGTCTCCAGGATTGAACAGATCTCAGAAATGAATATGGTAAGTGTTTCCAGCTACAGCCATGGGACTGGGGCCAGGGAACAAAGAGCAGGATCATAAGCCATTTCTGGTTGTTCTAACCTGCAACAGAGTTGATATAGAAGAACATAGTAGGTTTGGGAAACTATAGTCATTTGAGAAAAAATAGTACATCGACACCACATAAACTCAGTATTGTAGACTTAAAGGAGAAAGACTTTTAAAGACTTATAAGCTTTTATAAGATAATAGAGGATACTGGCTTAGTGCCCCTGAGGCAGATAAGGATTTCTTCAAAATGACACAGAAAACACAAATCATTAAAACCAATTAACTTAAATTTTAAAATGTCTTTAGCCAACACTTTGACAACTTCCGTTTCGCAAAACAAGCTAACCCACCATAGCTAGTGTAAGTCAGCAGAGTAGACTCAGGGCCTGGCACCAAGAAGGACTGGCATTCAAAATATGCAGCATTCCTGAGTTAAAAAGAAAATAGCAAACCAATTTTAAAAATGATCATAACATTTGAACACAGATGTCATTTTATGAAGAAGACCCCAAAAAACAAAACCCACTTGATGGCGTCAGTAAGTCCTTCCCAATTCACAGTAATCCTCTAGCACAGAGGACATATGCCCCATAGTACTTCCAAAGCTATGAATTGTAACGGAAGTTGACTGCCAAATGCGTGGAGTAACTGGTGGGTTCAACCTGTGCGCCTTATGGTTAGCAGCCAAGCATTTTAAAAGACTGCTCCACTAGAACTCCAAGAAAACCAAATATCAATGAAACTAAAAAAAAGATAGCATCACCAGTTAAATGTGAAATAAAGAAAGCCATGGTGAGATGCCATCGCCAGGCCCATATTGGTAAGTCTGGACCAAAAGGAACACTCACTGCTCCTGCCATGCTTGGCCATGAGCATGTGAACTTAAAGTTTAGAGTCTTCTCAGACTTTTTACTTCGCTGTTTTTACAGAGAAACTTCCAAAAGTTCATGGAAAAATGGAATGAAAAGATAATGGATTTTTTCCCATGAATTTTTTAAAGGTCCCTCACATTTGTAGGATAAGCACTTGACCACAAGGTCAATTTTAACCGCAAAGTTGGCAGTTCAAATTCACCAGCTGCTCCTCAGAAACCCTATAACAAGGTTGCTATGAGTCGGAACCGACTTGACAGCACTTAACAAACATGTACATTTGTGTTCAGTACTCATCTGTGACGAGTCCTGGTGTGGTACTGTAGGGTAACCACCAGACTGTAAACCGCAAGTCGCTGGTTCACAACCACTCTTTGGAAACCCTATACTCTAGGAGTCGGAACTGACTTGACGGCACTTATTTATGATGTATCCTGCATGCACATGCACACACATGCACCAGGCTAGAGAACGGGAGGACCTAACTCTCACCTTGCCTTCACTCTGCTCTCCCCAGGATTACACCATTACCATGTTTTTTCATCAGACCTGGAAAGACCCCCGCTTAGCCTACTATGAGACCAACCTGAACCTGACCCTGGACTACCGGATGCTTGACAAACTGTGGGTCCCAGACTGTTACTTCCTGAATAGTAAGGATGCTTTCGTTCATGATGTGACTGTGGAAAACCGCGTGTTTCAGCTTCACCCCGATGGAACTGTACGCTATGGCATCCGGTGAGTCCCCAGAGTGGCCTAGTGCTGATTTACCACAAACTTCTGCCTCCTGACCAGCATCCTGGGATTCTTTGTCTATGGCCTGCCAAGTCACTGGTTTCTTGGTCACTTGCAGGTCCCCTCTGTCTTTGTACATCTCAGCTCACCTTTCCACTGGGAAAGAAGGGAGGGAGAGAGGGAGCAAAAGAGGGAAAGAAGAGCAGGAGGGAGGGAGGGAGAGCCTAGCTCTAGGAAACCCGGGATGAGAAGATAGAGGGAGGTGAGTCCACCCTGGCATAGTGCCCTCCCCGCCCCCCGCCCCAGGCTGCCTGCCTGGACTTGACTGGCCGGTCCTTTTCTTCACAGCCTCGCCACCACAGCAGCTTGTTCCCTGAACCTGCAGAAGTTTCCTCTGGACAAGCAGGCCTGCACACTGGAAATCGAGAGCTGTACGTCCACTTCCTGTGGCTGGCATTGATGAGGGAGTCAGAAGCCAGGTTCACAATCAGGGAACCTCATAGACACACACAGAGGGGCTCCAAAAAGCTTGTGGAAAAATGGAATTAAAAGACAATGGAATTTATCCACAAACTTCCAAGCTTTTTGAAGCCCCCTCATGATGGTATATATATATATATGCATGTGTGTGTCACACACACACACACATAGAGAGCGATGTCTGTAGAGAGAGAGAAACTGGGAGCAGGTATCCCTTGAGGGCATCAGTAGACCTGTGGGTTTGAGCACATTATGTCTTTGACTATACTTTTCTTCCTGAGTGAGAATCTCCAAATAGAGTTCCCTTTCCACATGCTTGGCTCCCACTCACCTAAGCTGACCTCAGCTATCCCTTTGTAGTCCTTGCTAGTCCCTCCTGTCCTTGATTGACTCACTCTCCCCATTCCCATTTCCCAAGACGGATATACAGTTGAGGACATCGTCTTATTTTGGGAAGACAATGGGAATTCCATCCATGGGACTGAGGAGCTGCACATCCCCGAGTTCAGCTTCCTGGGGAAGACCGTTACCAGCAAGGAGGTGTTCTTCTACACAGGTGGGTCAGGCCCACCCATACACTCCACACTCTTCTGCCTCCTCTCCAGTTTCCTTCTGGATCTTGGGAGCTCCTCAACCCCTTTCCTTCGTCACCCTCTCCACGGCCCAGGTGTGAGTCCTTCACCTCTGTAAAGCGACATCAATCTAGCCAAGTGCTCCCCATTCCTCATTTGCTTCCTATCCTGCCAGCAATCTTGTGCCACATGTTGTGTGGCACCCAGGACTCAGTCTTCCTAGTCTGCGGGCCTCTGAGTGCAGAGCCTGCCACCCTGACAGCCCTGTGTCTCCTTGTCAGGGTCTTACATGCGCCTGATCCTGAGTTTCCAGTTCCAAAGGGAGGTCAACAGCTTCCTTATGCAGGTCTATTGGCCCACTGTCCTTACCACTGTTCTCTCCTGGATGTCGTTTTGGATGAACTGCGATTCCTCTGCTGCTAGGGTGACAGTTGGTAAGTCTTGTTCCTGTCCTAGGGTCATTTTGTTCACTTCCTTCCCCAAAAAAACACAAATCTAGCTTGATGAGGCATCCCTGGATGCCTGTGACTGGACTTGACAAGGATGAGGCTAAGCCACTGAGACAGTGTGGAAAAGACACTGGGGCTGGAACTTGGGTGAATTGGGCCCAATGTACCAGAATTCGCCAGTTAGGGAGTACAGATGGCTAGACAAGTGGTTGCATTAGAGCCAAGATGCAATCCCACAAACATTGCCTTAGCAGCAACTCTTTGGGGTTGGCCCTGAAGGCCTGGCTAAAAGCAGAGCCTGAGGGGGCCAGAGGAGAAAGCAGCCAAAGGACCATCAAGAGGAGTGGACAGAGGGAGGCAGAGCTGAAGATGGGGCATTCCTCAAAGAGTGACTAGCTTAACTAAAGACACAGACTTCCCCCCAAAAAGCAGTAATCCCATTGCTGTCCAGTCACATCTGGCTCAGAGTGACCCTTTAGCACAAAACAGAACTGCCCCCACAGGATTTTCAAGCCTTTGCTTCTTTATAATAGAAGACCACCTCATTTTCCTCCCATGGAGCGGCTGATGGGTTCCACCCACAAAGATTTCAGGTATTAATCAACAGGGCTTCACAGGAGACCCCCAAATGAGGTATTAGGAAGAGTAGTAAAACAAGTCTTGCAGCCCAGCCTGGGAAGAGTTGAAGTACCAGTGGAAGCAGCATCAAGCCATCCAAGGTGTTGCAGCGATAAATCCAGCTCCCTGCTTTGTTTGGCCAGGCCTCCTCGATCCAAGGCTGGTTAATCTTTCACTGTCTTGAGGGCAGACACCACGGGCTCCTTCCTTAGAAACCTGTACACACATCTGTATTTGGGTAATGTTTTCGGATTCACTGAACCTGCCATGTGATGAAGGAAGGCCATCAGAAGGCAAAGGCCTAAAGGAAGATCATCGGAGGGGGATGCCACAGCAAACCACATCTGGAGAGTTTGGACAGGAAGCTAAGAACACTGGTTGGTTTAAATGGTCGTGGGACCATTGGCACATTGGTCGGAGTTAGAGATGGAGTAGGAGGGGTGGGAAGAAGACTCCAGAAAAGATCTGAGACCTCTGCTGAGGACCCTCCACACTGCAGAAATGACCTGAGCCTCTGAAGCCCAGGTAACCATGGGGGTGGGCACAGTGGTTTGTCAAGCATTTCTACCCAGAAGGCTAAGCTTGTGACTTCTTGTTTATAGGCTTGACGTCCATGCTCATCCTGACCACCATCGATTCCCACGTGCGGCACAAACTGCCCCAGGTTTCCTGCATCAAGGCCATCGACATCTATATCATCGTGTGTTTCTTTTTCGTCTTCTTTTCCTTGATGGAGTACGTCTACATCAACTATCTTTTCTACAGTCGTGGACATCGGCGCCAGCAGAGGCGACTTCGACGAGCCCGGAGAATCATCAATCGCTACCGCTACCGGGAAGTTGCAGTGGAGGAAGTGCAGGTGCAACTTTTGGATAGACAGCAAGCTTTTCTGGAACACCTCTTGAGGGGGGTACCCAGCACAGGACCCTTTCACATTTCTCTCGTGCATTCACACACACACACAGCTAGCCAGGGATAGCACTTTCTAAGTGACAGAACCCCTGAGCTCAGAAGTACAGTCACTATGCAAACTCACAGACTTAAGATTGTGGCAGAACTAGGTTTCCCTAGATCTTGGAACTTCAAAGCTGGGGTACTTGGCCGGCTACCCAGGTGAGGTGGGATAGGGGCCTGGGAGGGAGGACAGGAAGAGGCAGACCCCACAGTGGCTGGCCTCCTGTCCCTCTGTCCTTGTCAGTTCCATTCTGCAATGGAGGCTCAGGCTGCTGGTGGCATGTTTTATGTCCCACAGGCCTGCCTGCCGTAGCAGGTCTCACCTGGGTTCCTTTTGCCACGCTCCAAAGGGAGCAAGCTATCCCCTGGGAGACAGTGGCTGGGCAGCCACCACGGCCTTCCCTTGCAAGCTAACCACTTTCTGATTCTGCTTCTCAGCCCCCCAAGCACCAGAGATCCCAGGAGGAAATAGTTGAATTTGTCAAAGAGACCAACAACAATGCTGCCAGTACCAAGGGGACCTGGCAACTGGAACCAGAGGCAGACGGTGAAAGCACTCTCCCTCTTCCTCCTGCTCCCCCTGCCTGCCCCACCTACCTCTGTGCGGGAGCATATTGGCAGTTTGAACTTGATGCACCTCTGTTTTTTCCCCAGAGGGAGACCTGAGTGGTATTGAAGACATGGACTCTCTTCTCTCCATCCCAGCGCTGGCCCGCCTTGCAAGTCCTGAGAGCTTCAGCTCTTTGTCCTCCTCCCCAGAGCGAGCCCGGCTGGCCACCTCGGAAAGCCTCAGCCCACTCAGCCTCATGTCCAGCCAGGTTACCGAGGACAGCCATAGTCAGCCACCCTGTAGCTCTGTGCAGGCCCTCCTCATCTGTGGTGTAATGTCTGAGATCCACAACCACTCTGAGTTCTGCAGCCAGGAGGACCTGAGGTGTGTGCGTGAAGCAAGCTGGGATCTGGATGAGATCTGTAGCTTGCCCGATGATGCCGATAATGTTGATAATAGCTGCCCCGACCTGGAGGAGAATCCCCAGGATGATGGTGATGGAGTCTGGAGCCTGGAGGAAGAGGAGGAGGAGATCCTGGTCTGTGTCCGAGAGGATGACAGTGGCTCCGAGTCTGATGACAGCTGCCCCCCGAGTCCTGGCTGCTCCTTCAGCAGAGGGGTGTCCTCGAAGCTCTTCAACCCTGACTATGTCCCTCAGGTTGATAGGTGGTCCCGCTTCCTCTTTCCTTTGGCCTTTGGGCTGTTCAACATTGCTTACTGGGCATACCACATTAATTAGTCCCGCTGCACATAACATGCACCATGGGGGCCCTGCTCTGCTCCCTGATCCCCGCACAGTCCCTTTGGGTTCCTGCTTTTCCTGGTTCTATCCTTTCCCTCTGCTGTTCCCTGGACAGTCTGCAGCCTTCTTGTCTCTGGTCTCTTGCAGGCAGGGGTCCGGGAGAGTCCTTAGGAAGGGAAGGGGGCAGTGAGGAGTATCTGGGGGCAGATGAAACACTTCTTTTCCTTGCCTGTCAGCAGCTCCCCTTTGCAAAGACTTCTCCAGCTAGTAAGTTCATAAAAGTCCTAAGAAAGGGTTAAGAGGACAGACCAGAACCAGGTTAGTGACAGAGGAAGGACCGGACACATTTCTGGGAGCTTCTTTGTCACCCTGCAATGTTAAACTGCTTTTTTTCATTACTCCTCTTCCTGTGTGTTTCCCCCTGAGCTCTGTGGCCCCTGGTGCAGCCACTGCTATGGGCTGTATGGAAGAAATACGGCAGGGTTGGGCTGAGCTCACACAGCAACAGTGTGTAAGGGGGCTGGCTTTAGAGTGCAGGGGACCTTTGTAAGTGCCTTTTTCTTACTGTCTTCTATGTTTGGAGAGTGGTGTTGAGGGGTGGTTGGGTTGGAGTTCAGAGTGAGATGTCAGGAGAGGTGAGAAAACATGGTTCCCGCAGAGCCCAGGGGCTGAGGCCGGGCTAGAGTAGGTGTCCTGTTATGGAGCTTGGAACTTCTTTTTCTGCTTCTGACTGGGTGAAGTTGAGGGTGAGCCAAGCTCCCACTTGCTAATTCCCTGGTTGAGCTAGGAGAGCCCATAGCGACCTGTCCTGAATCTAGTAAGAGTATCAGGTTCACTGATCTATCCCCCACCACTGGACCTGCACATGTGCCATAGGAGAGGACACCTAGCCGTGAGTGTTGGGGCTCCCCTCACAGCTCCTCCTCTGTCTAACTCCCTCGCTGTTCCCAAAGGGGTGCTCCAGCCTGGCCCCAGACCACCGTCAAGTGTACCCATGGAGAACAGGCTCTGGTGCAGCAGGACCGCCCTGCACTTCCACTGACAGGCTCCCAAGCTCTCAGCCCACCCTGCCCCCTCCCCAAGTAGCTCCTCCCCATGCCCACCTATCCTTACAGCATCTGTGTGTCCATAGTTGTGTTCCTGTGCCTCTGGGTGTCTGCCGTTCGCAAAGCTGTACAGCTCTGTGTATATTGGTGTCAATCTATTTTGCTGTGTAAAGGAGTGTATATAGAACCAGTTGTGGGTGTAGATGTGTAGGTGCACACCTCGTGGTAGTACGTGGGAACTTGTGTTTATGTGTCTCTGTGCTTGTACATATACACGAGGGTGTGTTGTGTGTGGTGTGATAAGAAGTGCATGTGTGTTGCCCCATGGTGGTTTCTCTGGCTGGGTGTGAAAGGAAATATACCTGAAAGCAGCTGCCATCTCTGTCCAGAGCCACGGTCATTCCAAGGCCTGTTCCCATAAAGGGACCCTTTTGGACCAGGCTGGTTAAAGGTTTCTTGCTGGTTCCCGGTTGCAGGGAACAGTGTCTCTGTCCACCATCCACTTCTCTGCCCTCCCTCCACACATCGATGCTGTCTCCTGATAGAAGGATATGTGGCTGCAGGTGGCAGAGCAGCAGGAAGCTGGCATGGCACCATGGCCATGCTGGCAGTGGAGGGAGGTGACACCAGGTGGTCTGAGGGGCAAGGAAGACCCAGGAAGTGGAAGCAGTTCTAGGCAGCTGCAGGAAGTTCTTTAGTGGGCAGGGCCAGGGTGCAGAGCCATGTGCTTTGTCCTGGGCATGTCCTCTGAAAGGTGCCCTGAGAGTGGCAAGGTGGCCTGGACAGGGCGGCAGGACTAGAGAACCAGAGAGGGGTTGTATATAGCCTGTAGAGCTCATCCTTTTATCTCAGTGCCTTGTGAGCCTAACACCTGCAGAAGCTGGTAGCAGCATTAAGCAGGTGGATAATGCAATGCAAGGGCCAAGCGGCCAGAGAAAGAGAACCAAAGGTGCCTGGGAGACGTGGGCAGCAGTGGTTGGTCCATTGGATGGGGCACTTAATAGCCCACCTTGGGATGACTGTTTACTATTGAACTCCAGCAGTAGGCCCCAAGCTTAGGGGAGGGGGAAGGAAGCCCTGGGGACTGCTTACACAGATCAGATCAGCTTGCTGTCTACTCTTCAACACCTATACGCTCACAAACACACACACACACACACACACATAGCCACATGCATACTCGCGTGCACACACACACATGAACACACACACACACAAAGTTACCACTAGAATCTCCAAGATAACCCCTGACAGAAACAGGTCCTAGAGGAAGACACATCAGGAGCTTTCAGCCTCGAGATTGAAAAGCTGGTTACCAGGAGCTTGATTTCGATTTGGGTTTCCAGGATCCTAGTGGGGCTTCATGCCCATAATGAGAGTCTTGGAAATCGATGGTGGGGGCCGCTGGAACTGCAGAAAAAGCAGTTCACTTGGAATGAGGCATACCTGAAGATTGGGATCATGAGGACCAACAAGGGGGGTATGAAGACACGTCTGGTAGCAGTGCACATGAAAGACAGAGGCCCGTTGTACATATCTTTGTAGATTCCTGTAGCTAGATCGAACTTTATACTTTACAAAGAATAACTAGCCCTAAGTGCTGCTGCTGCGCTCTAGTGAGATTTCCAGTCTGTCAGGTTCAGTGTCCAGGTAGGTTGGCAATGACACCTTTTCAGGTGATTTGAACCTTCAGAGCTGGCCATGAATTCAGTTGGTTGAACCTGAAAATTGTCACGCCTCCCCTTGTCTTCTGTGTGTGGTGTGTCATCAGCTTTGTGGAGCTCCATCCTCGGCTGTCCCCATCCTCTTCCAGCTGGCTGCTTCCACCCTTCCCTCCTCCCCTTAAACTGGCTGGCTCTGGAAGTGCAGGCAAGTAGCAGGAGATTTCTTGACACCCTCTCCCTGCCAAGCCCAGAGTGCTCATGGTAAAAGTTCTGGTGGAGATGGGGCAGATGAAGTCAACTTGCCCTTGGCCCTACAGAAGGGAGAAAGAAGGCTTGCAGGGTCTGTAATGGAGCGATCTGCTTCCTCCTAGATTTGCCATCCCTTTGACTCCCTGATATATGATCCCACGGACTTCTACCCTGGAACCCCTTCTTCACCCTTCCCATGGGAAGGATGCCTCTCGTCTGTGTCCACAGTAGTGTTTGTCGTGGGGATGTGTGCCATGTTTCCTCCCAAGTGTTTGCTGATTCCGTCCTCCACTGGGGGGCTGGGGGGTGTCTTAGCAAAGGTGTCCCATGAGCTGATGGGTCCTTGTATACCAGTTGTGGTCTTAAAATCTGTGGCAGGTTATGAATAGCAAGGCTGAAAAGTCTTTGCCTATTAAGAGCTGAATTTTGCTGTGGCTGTTCCAATGATATTTCCTTGTTCTGTATATAAACATCTAACCCTTTGAGCTATTAACTAACAAGTGCGCTCACTAATCTACCCCCCTGCATGGTACCTGCAGTGGTGATGAGCAGTAACTTTCTAGCTCCTCCGCAGCCCAGTATCCAAGGAAATTGTGACTTGTTCTGCTGAAAGTGCAGTGTGTGCGTGTGTGTATTTGTCTGTCTGTTGTTGTGTGTATTGTGATCAATATGATATCTCTATCATCAGTGTTCATTTTCAGGGTAGGGTGGGAGGGAGGGTGTTCAAGGATCTCCCGGATATGTTTAAACTATGAAGTATCCTAGTCAACTGAGGTCACCTTGACAAGCTCAATTTGCTTGAAGCTTTGTTGTATCCCCTGGGGCAGGTGTTCCCAGAGCTGAAGGTACCCAAGAGTATTGCAACTGGCAGTGGTGCCAAGAGTATCTGCAGAGGGCAGCCAAGGTTGCCAATGCACCCAGCCACCTTCTCACTGTCTCCTTGGCCCCAAGACCCATCAGGGAAAGCCTGGAGCCAAGGCAGTGAAATTCTGGAACCAGATGATTCCACAAGAGCACACGCATATGGTTGTTCAGGAGTAGAAGCCAAGAAAAGAGGAAGCCCAAGTGCCAGATGTCCTGGATGGCCTGACCCACAACAGTGAGCAGAGCCCAAGATAATCCAGGCCCCACTTGGAATCCCCAAAGTAAAATATGAAGAAACAAACGTTTGCTTCTGAAAACTGTACTGAAGTACATTTTTGTAAATAGAAAAAAGGGGAAATAAATACATATAATGGCAAATGATCTTCTGGGTCTGTGCTTCCTCTCTGCTGTATTCGTGGTGTCCCATTGACCTCTGGTTTCCATTGTTCCCTTTGCCTTCCCGTAATTTGCTTATCAGCCACCTCATACCCTTGTTAAGTGCCGTCAAATCGTTGCTGACTCATACTGACCCTGTACAGGGTTTCTGAGGAGCAGCTTGTAGGTTTAAACTGCCAACCAGGAGTTCATACCCCAGGCCATTTGAATTTCAAACATAAGCAAATTACAAATACCACCACTGAAATGAGTTCATACGTTTGCACGGTCCATTCCAAACATTGGAAATAAAACTTCAAAAACCTAGCAAAACCATAACAGTACCAAAGCATAATAAGGCATTTATTTTAATTTTATGGGCAAAAGAAAAGATCATAAACAGCACATTTTTTTAAAGCTCCTTTACAGATGTGGGTGTGCAGAGGAGAGAGCCTGCTCAGGTTACAAAAGTTGCAGTCAGATGAAAATGTCCTGTTGGTCGTCCATATGGTCCTTCATGTGCCCAACTCCTGCCTCCAAGCACCCACCATTTGATTAAAACCTTAAAGTCAAGGCAGGAACCCTAACCCCAAGGTTCTTCCTCTGTTACCTTTTTTTGTGCCCAGAATCAGCCTGAAGAGCTGTGTATACCACCTGCAGCTCCAAGCTAGTGCAGCTTAGATACCCATCTAAAAATACAATTTTACCTATAAAAAGTTAATATACATACCATGCTAACACTAATCAAAAGACACTTGAAGAGCTATCTTAATTTTAGTCCAAGCTGACTTCAGAACAA